GTAGAAAATATGGTTAACACCCGGTCATGCGTGAAAAATAAAATACTGTCATGTACCGTGAAACCAGTATAATTTTGAAAAATACCGTGATATACATTTTTGGTCATACCACCCAGCACTAGGGGTGGAGTTTGCAGGCTGCACATCTTTCCAATGGAAAATCACTATCCTCCGTAAATTAACTTAAATATTTGAAGATACTGATAACCCACTGGCTGTGCTGTTTCGAGATGTTATAAATCTTATTGTGCTTTGAAAATCCATCCCTGCAGAGACACAACGCCTGATGTGTTACACACAGAGACACAATCTGAAGTCACAATGACTTGCATGTCTGCAGTTTTCAGCTCCCAAATTCGAAACAAAACTTAGAAACGCCACAGAAATCAACCATTCGTCTTTCGCTTTTAGAACAGAAAGTACATTTGCAAAGATGTACCTTCTGCCAGAAAATTGGCGGTTGCAGAGTCATGAAAAACCACACCATCGTTCAGCTTGACTGAGTTCCTCACTTGCAACATTCTCATAAGGTAACGCACACCTTCTTGAAGACACTGTGAAGACACGGAGCATTGCAACACTTACTCAAGTCATGGCCACTAAAACTGGCACTGTGGAGTGAGAGGTTGGTGAAAGTACCTTAAGGAATGTGGCTTTGTTCTTCTTGATCCATTGCTTGCGTTGGTGTAGTGTGTGGCAGTACATATATAATAATGCCCCACGCCTCCAGTACAGGCACTCCAGCAGCTCCAGCCCCAGCACAGACTGCACCTGATCAGAACCACAGCATCACACTACAGTTACTCACAGTACAGCTTTCTAATCTTATTCAGTCCATGCCAATTCAACTAGATTAAAGTATAGACCTGAAGGTTTTAATTTAATTTATGCTGTGCGCGCTTAAAGTAAAGAATATTTATTCTGAACATCCACATGTAAAGTCATGATGCATAAAAAGTTGCACTTATGTTGCACACAAACAAACAAAATGATGCTACGGTAAAACAAAATTGCTGCATAAATTGCCACATTTCCAAATTGCACAGGTGGTCTGTAACCAAAAATATTAAGCAGTGGGAGTGAATGCCTTATTTAGAATCAACAGCAAATAATTAAACTAATTGTTAAGTAAATATCTTCTACAGATACAGAAATACAACACCTCTTGTGCAGGCACCAGTCGCCCAGCTAACACCTCTGGCTCGGTCAAGTCCTCTGGCTCGGTAAAGTCCTGTAGCAACTGCTGGATTTTGAAAGGGGAAGTGTCCTCAGGAAACTCCTGATCTACAAGCCTGTTTTCCTCATAGAATGTAATGTCCAAGACAACCTGTAGAAAAGTAGGTAAAACAATTGGTCATATGAGTAATTACTTCTAAAACAAGGTATCTGCATATTCTTTTACTCAATTAAACAGGCTGGGAACACATTCACCTGCAAAACATGGTAAATGGATATAAAAAAAGACATGTTTTATTCAATATATACATACTGAAATTGGCTTATGTACTAATATATAATTACATATGAATTAGGTATAGATCAATATTGGATTTTTCTGATAAGAATAAGATAAGAAAAGCCACTAAACATATGATTGTGCTGATAATAATAAAATGCACGTATTGAATGTGTTAAATAATGTTGTTAGTCTCTACTTTCTGTAAGAGGGTGAAATTAAATGCCACATATAGTTTGTGTAACCAAAATAGCAATAATATCCAGAAAAAAAAACGACATAATGTGGGACTTTTAATTATAAACAAGCATGAAAACACTGTGGCTCTTATTTTAATACTTCCAGTTGCTCATTTAAAAAAGATGAGAAAATATACACTCTTGTAACCATTTACAACATTACATTACATTTAGTCATTTAGCAGACGCTTTTATCCAAAGCGACTTACAAATGAGGACAATAGAAGCAATCAAAACTAACAAAAGAGCAACAATATGTAAGTGCAAATGACAAGTCTCGGTTAGCTTAACGCAGTACACGTAGCAAGGTATTTATATATATACAGTGGGTACGGAAAGTATTCAGACCCCCTTAAATTTTTCACTCTTTGTGATATTGCAGCCATTTGCTAAAATCATTTAAGTTAATTTTTTTCCTCATTAATGTACACACAGCACCCCATACTGACAGAAAAACACAGAATTGTTGACATTTTTGCAGATTTATTAAAAAAGAAAAACTGAAATATCACATGGTCCTAAGTATTCAGACCCTTTGCTCAGTATTTAGTAGAAGCACCCTTTTGATCTAATACAGCCATGAGTCTTTTTGGGAAAGATGCAACAAGTTTTTCACACCTGGACTTGGGGATCCTCTGCCATTCCTCCTTGCAGAGCCTCTCCAGTTCTGGCAGGTTGGATGGTAAACGTTGATGGACAGCCATTTTTAGGTCTCTCCAGAAATGCACAATTGGGTTTAAGTTAGGGCTCTGGCTGGGCCATTCAAGAACAGTCACAGAGTTGTTGTGAAGCCACTCCTTCGTTATTTTAGCTGTGTGCTTAGGGTCATTGTCTTGTTGGAAGGTAAACCTTCGGCCCAGTCTGAGGTCCTGAGCACTCTGGAGAAAGTTTTCGTCCAGGATAACCCTGTACTTGGCCGCATTCATCTTTCCCTCAATTGCAACCAGTCGTCCTGTCCCTGCAGCTGAAAAACACCCCCACAGCATGATGCTGCCACCACCATGCTTCACTGTTGGGACTGTATTGGACAGGTGATGAGCAGTGCCTGGTTTTCTCCACACATACCGCTTAGAATTAAGGCCAAAAAGTTCTATCTTGGCCTCATCCGACCAGAGAATCTTATTTCTCACCATCTCACAACTCCATGCGGGCTTTCATGTGTATATATATATATATATATATATATATATATATATATATATATATATATATATATAAAAGCTAAATAATTTTTTTTTTCTGATGCAAGCATCAAAACAATGCCCTACTATATTGCAACGCACCAAAGCAGTCAATCCAAGGCAAGAATAACTTAGCGGTTGCCACCGTTTAGTAAACTGTGAACTAGAGGTCTGATCGTCTGCATTCCTGCGGGGATTCGGGATTAAATTCCCAAATAAAATGCTGTAGCGGTCGGTAACTCTGGTGTAACTGGACGGGAGCGGGCGGTCTAACAATATCCCGTTCCCGACGTCCATTCAGAACAGCATATCTGCGCTTTATTCTTATTGACCACCGGTACAGCCTGCACTCGGACTGTTATGCATGCGCTGCACGCATGCTTTCTGCGCCACGCGTTTTATTTGG